TAAACCCGGAGTGGTCGGCACTGTGAAGGGAAGAACGGGTTTTGGAGGTCATCGGACTAATCTCTAGCCATTGGAGATCAAATGCTTCGTAGCTCAACTACTGATAGATGTTGGGTTAAAGGCTCATTGCTCTGATACCATAACAGAAAAGAAGGAAGAGCAAATGAAAAAAAAAGGAAGAGACTGATAGAAAAGAAGGAAGAGCAAAAGACCAGAAAAATATTTTCCTTCTTCCGAAATATTTTGCTGCTTACAGGGATACATATATTGTCACTAGTGTTGTACCGTAACATTGTCACTAGTGTTGTACCGTAACAGAAGAAAACAAAACAGCAGGAAAAGAAAATAAAACAGTAAGGAAACAAAACAGCAGGAAAACATGTATTGCCACTGGCATTGTACTATGGCAGAAGAGAACAAAAAGGAAAAAACAAAAAACGGTTACAATTAAACTAACAAATTTATTAATTAGTCTTAATATCATCTGAGGTTATTATTCTTTCTTCCTTTTTGTTTTCGAACATTACTTCCATTAACTCCGCTGTAGTCCGAAAAAATTTATTTCCTTTTGATTATTTTCTAATTTTTGTTGCGGACGGTGAAGAAATTTCGTGACCTAGAAGCCAGAGTCTTGATTCCTGAGTCAAATCCAGCTCGGGTAATTTCTGATCCTGATCCTTGTGACCAAATTGAACAAATTGGGTTCTTATTCTGTCAGAAATATCAAATGAATGTTTGATCTTTCCTATTAGGTTAAAGGGTTCCGTGGCGTTACAACTCAGTGATTCAGAGTCAAGAGTCAAGAAGATGAGAACGAGATGAAGATGAAGAATCTTGTATATTCGAGAGAGAAAAGTAACAAAGTGAAGTAATGTGCCTTTTATGGAACCCGAAAAATAAAACAACAAAGAATAAGAAACAATAAGGTTGGATCAGTAGCTGTTTATGCCAAAATTATTTCAATTGTTGCTGCTGCCAAAGCCCTATATTCAGCCTCCGCAGAGACACGTAATATTGTTCTCTGCTTTTTTATTTTTCAAGATACAAGACAATTGTCAAGGAAAACACAATTTAGGGTCCATGGATGAACTAAGAGGTTTTGGAAGCTAAAAATCCCATGTTTTAAAGTAATTCAAAAGTATAATGTTGTTGCGACAAATTTATACCCTGAAAAGATCTAGCAATCTCAATCCAACAAATATATTCCCAGAGTCCATCATCTTGAATTGTGCATAAAGAGGAGCCTTTACCTGATCGATTACTTCAAGAGAAGGATCTGTAATCACTATATCATCTACATGTACCAACACTGCCAACGATTAACTTCCAGCTCCTTCAACAAACAATGAATAAATTAAAAACGAAAGTAATCTATAGATATATATATATACAATGCATGTAGTCTCGATTTTACAGTTAAAATAGGTGATATACTTGCCATGATTAAAATTAATTTCTTTATTTTTCCCCACCCAAAACGTAAAAAAGACATGGTTGATAAAGTAAGAAAAATTCAAGGTTAACTGGATATACATTACCTCAAAACAAACATACGGACACAGATCCATAAAACAAAGAATATATGGTAACTCTACTTGAAAAGGCAGATTATCTTCCCTGCATGTATATTCTCTTGTGGGGTTGCAGCATCTGGACTGTCCAAATAACAAAACCAACTGTTGAGATAATTTCGCCAAGTGAAATTATGATATTCCCACGTACAGTTGAAAAAAAGCTGGCAAGATATACAATTTGAAATTTTTTTTTTTCTCTTTTCGTGTATTTCTTGTTTTAATCCCAGCCGATCAGCTCAGTGGTCACAGATACAAGAGGGAGTAGGACAGATAAGAGAGGCGTGCTAGGATTTGGTGAGTGATTAGGGTTCATTTTCATTTACTTCTCACCCTCTGCAATCGTATGTAATTATTTTTATTTAATTTTTAATCTTATAATTTTAGTTTCATATTTGTGTTGCGACATAGATAATTAGAACTAATTGATTATATACGCGTTGTTGATGTTTTCTGTGATCTCCGATTTGATTGAATTTACTACTTTTTTATAATTTGAAAGCTATCATATATATATATATATATATATATATATATGTGCGTGAGATGATGTCTATACATATATATATATATATATATTGTTTTTGGCGCAGGTATAATTTTATTTTCATTAATTAATCACGGACAAGAAAGAAGCAATGAAGACCCAAGAGGTAGATGATATGGTAATTGACGATAATGGTACTGTACCTACCAACTCGTCAGTGCCTTCCCAAGAAAATGAAGGAAAATTGAAGGAATCAGGTAAACTAACAAGTAAGATATATATATATATATATATTTATGCAATTTATTAATTCCAATTCGTATAGATATAGATCTGGATTTGATATATATATCTCAGGGTCAGTTGGTGGGATCAATCAAGATTTTGCCGGTAATACTGAAACAGCGAAGGAGAGTGTGGAGTTTGAGAAAGAGCAGCCTCCAGGTGATCAGGAAACAACACCACCACAGGTCCAAACTCATCAGTCTGATCTGCTTCCACCTTCATCGGATGATGAAATTGAGTACTACACACTTATATACATATATAAATATATGTAAACTTGCAGTTTCATATTTATATAACATATGACATGTTGTACTTATAGGTATATATCTATATGTGTATATATACAGATATAATTAAATAGATTTACCAAGTATTTTGTGTTGTTGTGAACGCACAGAGAGGATCACAGGACTTGGCTGCTGAAATCGCAATACTGAACCAACTTTGTGAAGAGATGAGGCACATGATTAGCGTGCAAGATGGTAATTAAAATTTCCTTAAAGCTGTACTTGTATATATACAGATTAACGACATTGGCATATGATATTTGCAGCAAGGAACTTAGCAATTAGTCAAGAGATCCGACATTAGAGGACACTGCAGCTGGCAGTGCAAGCTTATGAATGAGAACAGCACTAATAATCCTCATCACGAAGAAAGTGAAACGGAGTGTTTCTCCTCTTCCTCCTCCTCTTCATCTTCTTCAAGTTCTGAAAGCGTTGAGAATGAGGATGAAGATTCTGAGGATGAGAACGATAATGAAAATGAGAAGGGAGGTGAATTCTAAATTTAGGAAGTCATGGTAATTTGTTAATAGGTACCTTGAAGTCGGGACCCAATAAGGCAATCCAAATCTAATTTAATTTTAATCGATCATAGTAATTTTTGAATAATGATTGATCATAAATGCTTCAAAAAAATTGTAGATGATTACATAAGGAGACACAACTAAAGAGCTATAAAATATTTTATTTTATCTAAAAATATTATACTTAACGAGACAAAAATCAATTTAGCCATCGCATTTCCACTAATATCAAACTATATACTTGTTTAAATTAAGTATTATAGATTCATTATCACTGACTTATAATATATTCATAAAGTAACAAAATTTATGTTCGAACTTATAACATTTAAAATAAATATAAATATCTTAACTATTAAAGCATTACATTATTGGATACAACACTTTAACTTTTTTATATATATCTAGCTTTTTCATTGCAACGTAATTTATGGTATTTATTTTTTTCTTTTTGGTATGTGTTTTATTATTTTGTACCATGTTATTAATTCCTTTTTTACAAGTGCTATAAGTCTTAGAAACATGTATTCGGGTTCTAACTTGTTTATAGGACATAAATACATTATTTGTGTTTTAACTAAAGTCTCTCTCCAGAAATTAGTTCGTGTACCTTGAAAAAATCAAATTATTCCCTCTCCGTTAGCGGTCACAAATATTTTTAATGCATGTGCCACACGTCATCAATTTGAAAATGTTATATTACTTGATTGGTTAATTTTTTATGTTAGATTTTACATATCGCTTAAAATAGTATCTGACATTACAAAAATTTTAAATAATTCCTAACAATGTAATTGACTACTAACGGAAAAAATTAATTCGAACATTTTTTGAAATGATATTATTTAATCTGACACAAAATCATAGTAAGAACCAACCGTAGGAAGAACCAAATCGAACAAAACAAAGTAGTATAAAAACTAAAAATATATTTTGGCCCATGATGTTTTTATCTACAGAGAGTTACTCGGCCATTTCTGGTCTGTTTTGAGCCCACCCCAAGAAAACAGGCTTAAGCAGGGAGTTCAATCCAAGTAATCAACCTCCATTTCTCTCATTCTCTAGTAACTTGTGATATTCTACCATGCAGATCCACAGTAAGAGCAAGAAGAAAAAAATAGAAATTTTTTCTCGACCAAAACGGAGATGCTGAGGACTCGATTGCTTTGGTCCACGCTGGGATTCTCAGTGACGGGAGCTGCAATTGCTCACTTCGTATGGAGGGATCTTTATGCTGGTCGACATGCGCTTTCAGCTGAGGTTATTATTTTTTCTCCTTTTTTTGTTGTTGAATGTTACTTCCATTGATTCCGCTATAGTCCGAAAAAAATTTATTTCCTTTTGATTATTTTATATCTTTTGTTGCAGACGGTGCAGAAATTTCGTGACCTAGAAGCCAGAGTCTCGATTCTTGAGTCGAATCCAGGTCGGGTAATTTCTGATACTGATCCTTGCGACGAAATTCAACAAATTGGTTTCTCATTCTGTCAGAAAGATCAAATGAATGTCTGATCTTTCTTATTAGGTTCCGTAGTGTTGCAACTCAATGATTCAGAGTTAAGAATGAAGAAGATGAGAACAAGATCAAGATGAAGAATCTTGTATTTTGAGAGAGAAAAATAAAACCTTTTGGTGTGGGAAGTGAAGCACTGTGCCTTTTTTATAGAATCCGAAAAATAAAAGAATAGAGAATAAAAATGAGTAGTAGTAAGTAAGCTAGTCTTAACTCTAGCTGACTAACTCTAATGATCTCTCTCAAGATAGCCTGTGTACATGGTCATACTTAGAGTTGTAACTGTATGGCTAGAGCTCCCAGGTTCCTTCCCTTTTGGTGTGGGAAGTAGGCCCTCTGAGGCCATAGGGTGATTAGAGGTTGCCATCTGAGGTAAAGGTGGAAAAGGATTTCAGGATATAGTAGTGGATGGTTGACTTAGGCTCAGGAAAAGTATAGTTTCCACTTTCAAGTTCTGTAACTAATTGCAATCCTCAGCCAGTTTGAAGTCGAGGATGTTGATACATTTCCATTGTGAAGTCCTGCATTTGTTGGTCTAAGTTGTTTATGGATTCTTCGATATGTGCTACCTTCTAGACTCTGTCGTCACTGATTATCCTTTGTTCTTTGCCAATTTTACTAGTGGAAGCAGTGCATCACAAAGTACTGATGTATCTGATACCAGGTTGTCAGGCCCTTGATTCATGGGACGGTTGGGTGGCCTGAATAAGACTATAGAGAGGTGAGAAAAGGAGAAGGGAGAAGAGAGAAGAGAGAATAGAGAATATAGGAGAATAGAATTATGTACATATTTTCTGATGATTTCCTTCGTTAAGAGGTACAGATATTTAGGGATACCTCTGGTATAGTTGGTTAGGACAACCCCCGATACCAGCCGCCAATAGCACACAAGTCAAAAGAACTGAAAACAGCCAATAAGAAGGAATTCCTAATGCTACTTTTATTCCTTTCTAACTAACTTAATGACTATTCTTTGTTTCTTCCCGCACCTTTTGTGGTTTTGACACAGTTTTAGGTATCAAGTAGGTCTTTATAATTGTGAAGGTGATAGCAATACCTATTGGGTGGATTTCCTTGATAGCATGCTGTCAATTGACTAGTAGGTGGTTCCACAACTGAACTTATCAGCCTGGTTCATGAGATATTCCCTTAGTAATCCAGTGTAGGCACCAAATCTTGTTGTATCATACAATCTTAATATTGAAGGTGTAAGGATGTACAAGTATCACAACCTTCTTTGCTGGGTGCTTTCTCTTGTATAAGTTTAGTTTAAATTTAAATTTTGTGGAATAAGAGTTAGAATATGCTATAAATATGATACAAGTTTGAATGAAAACTATATTTTAATTCCAGATCATTCTATATCCAATTCAAGTCAGATGTCTCTGTATTTTTTCTATTGATAAGAGATAATACAAATATGTCGTCATAAAAATAAAAATATGAGTAGGGTAACAATTTCAAGTTATGAAAAACTTTGATCGACAGCGTGGCCAGCAATTGGTACCCGAGAATGTGGGTTTCCCATCTACTTGGGTGTCTGCTCTTCCACTTGCTTCATGCTTTACTTGCTCTATATATATTATTAGGCATGTATGTCTTGTACGGTGAGAAAGGGAACCAGAGGATTGAAACTGATTATTCTTGATTATCTCTTTCTTGTCATTTTTTGCCGATTACACTTTGTAAGGGTGAGTCTTGATTGTTCTGTTTTTCATACTTGTGCAGGTTGATGGTTAAATCTTATGCCTCAAGTGATTTGCTGACGAGATCTGGCTACTTCATTGCCTTGTACTGAGTTATCTATAAATAGTTGAGCAGTGTTTACTATGAAATTGTTCTGGTTTCTAGACTTGAAAGATTCAAGGTGGTCCATTGTGGTATTCCTCTCTGAATCCTTAATGAGTTAAATTTGAGTTTCTCTTTTCTCTCAATTAAGCACTTGGAAGTTCTTACCAAGAAAAAAAATGCAAGCAGCAGTAAGCAGTTGTACAAAATAAGAAGAAATACTGGAAAGATATCTGAAAATGAATAGGTCCTTACCCCTCTCAATCTCTCTTCTTTTCCCTAGAATCTCCCTTTTTGTTATCCTTCTCTTGTCCCTCTTCTGCTCTTGCTTTGCAGCAAATCTGGTCTGACACACAAGGGAAAAATGGATGGAGCTGTCTACCTAAGAAGCTTAAGAATCTGAAATTGGCAATCCACCTCCATGGATATTCTACTAGGATCTGTTTAGCACTCCAATTCCAACAGAAGCTAATTATTTCTATATTAATTTGTTTTTGTAAGAAAATATAATATTTTTATGAGATGTATTACAAATATGTAGAATTTAAGTACTAATTAAAATGATATAAATTTAATTGGCAGACGATTCTCCGTGGGGTTTTCCTAGTGAACTAAAATTCTTATCTATTTATTAATCGCAATTTGCATCTCTTCTAACTAAAATAATGTGGATTTACAAATTAATTTCATATAAATTGTAAATTTATTTAAAAAATAGTTAAAAATCTTACAATTATTAGTGAGGTTAGATTTAATCCATATGGTATGAAATTATCTTAAAAGCCTAAACAAACTTAGCCAGAATCTCGAACCCAATAATTTTTGTACTTTAACTGGGAGCCCAGGTAAAAATTCCAAGGCGAAGAAGAATCTTGCAAAAAGATCTAATTTATCCTGACTACATTTTTTTAGACCTCACTATTTTCTAACTTCCAGCACCATCCATTATTAACCTGTTTCAAAGAAAAAGAATAAATTGTGCTATTATTTATGCTCAAGACACAGCAATGCTGAAATGGGTATATATTTCATAAGAATTATGTTTTACCAGAAGCAATAAAGTCTAACAGGTTCCACCAAACTGCTTTGCTTATCTCTTCCATTGAAACCTAAAATTAATTTTTAATTTTTACAGTCAGATTTTTCCCTACAAGACTAAGTATTCACATACTACACGGGCAACTACTCTCCCAAAAATAATTCATCAACGAAAACAACGTCAGACCACTAGAAGTAAAATTAAACTCCTTCAGTCATATAACCAAAACAGTGGGCAGATGCGCTTTTCCAACAGTTACAAGAAAATTGCCCAATTTATTCTTTCTTTTTTTTTTTTTTTATTTGAGTTGAGATCTCCTAACTTCAGGGAAATGGGCTGCAACATCATCAATAATTCCCGAAATCATGATTTCATTTCTGATGGGGTGGTCGGGGAAGAATGGAGTTTGCCAGCTCTTCGTTCACCTTAACTGGGAGTGGAGGCATCTGCTTCATTATTTCCGGCATGTCATTCAAGCTGCAGAACCTTGTCCAGATCAGAATATTTTTATCAATATACTCAACTTTTTTTCAGCACAAAAGCACATAAATAACAAAAGAACGATGAAACATCTAAACAGTGCTTGCATCAGTAAGTGCATACAAGATATAAAAAGTAGGAAGCCCGCCTAGTCCTTCCCGTTCTAAGGAGTGCTCTATCAGTTACTGCATATAGAGCAGGAAGCCCTCCCTATCCTTCCTTTTCTAATCATAATCGGCATTGAAGACCTTGAAATCTACCAATCAAGAAGTCATAGCCGATTTTAACCAAGTTGAATACCTTAATCAATCATAAAGCCTTTCAAGCATTTTTTTGCATAAAATTCTCATGCTCTTCATTTTTAACAAGGAACAAAATAATAATTCCACATCTTAAAGCAAGATTATCTTCTTCCTCCTCCGACTTCTGTAAATTGGAAACCAACTTAAAACCTGTTACTTTGTGGTCCTTCTTTTAGTGGAAAGGGCAATCGATGCTGCCAATAACAAATATTATTGTAGAAACTATTCCTCATGCAGTTTATGTTTACCAGTAATTACCACTATTGGAAATATAATGTCCACACGTTAAAGCTAGAATATCCTCTCGCTCTCTTTATCTGATCTGACAATTAATTTTCTCAGAACTAATGTCAGATTTATTCTCAGTAATTAAGCTCCATAAATATATTCCCTTTGAGGTTAACCTAAGCCATTCAGCAAATGCGCTCTCCATCATCCTATGTATTTACTGAGTGGACAAAAACTCAAAATGCAACAACTACCTGCTTCTCATTGCACTAATATTGTCCATCATTTCATCCATGAGATCCCTATAAATAATTTTAACGGGCTAGGAAAGATCTCTTCAGTCTAACACAACAAAATTGATATACATGACAGTAATGACTTGATAATGATGCAGATGAACTGAAAGAGATGCAGATCCATGTGATAATGAGGAAAAACATGCAATGCCAAGATAGAAGTATCTGAATTTTCTGACTTTGACATGACAGACACAGAAGGTAATGGCATACTCATTCAAGATTGTGAAAATGTTATCCCGAGTTTTGCAGAAGAGGTTGATGTTTTCATGTATCTGCCAGAAAACAAGTTAGCATAGGTCATCCACAGCTGGATAGAAAAGGCAACAGTTTACAAGCAATCAAAAGGACAAAATCATTCCACAAATTTTATAAATCAGGTAGATGTTAAAATTATGAGTCTCTAATGGCAGATAACTTGCTCTAGAGTTTACATTGCTAATACCTGTTATATATTAATGGAACATCAAAGACAAGCCCACATTATCCTGTCTCATTTACCTAATAATTAAGATAATCCCAAGAAACACTAAAGAACCTTGGGCTCAATGATAACTTCTCCCCAGCAACTATGGGGGGTAAGGCTTTGTATTTTTTATCAACTCCCTCAGTATCTAAAAACGAGCGGTCGCTCATTGGCCAAAAGAAGAAGAAGAAGAAGAATAAAGAGAATCTCTAGAAACTTCTTATTAGAAATTTAAAGCTCCAACTAGTACATTTCACTTACTCATAACTTGTACAATGAACTCTTAACTAGATTGTAGAGAAAAATTCAGTGTAACAATAAAAGATCCAGGAAAATAGTGATGTTCCGACTAATTCCAGTAAACTACTCAAGACAATGCTGGACCAACAATAGCTGCACGGTTCTCCCTTCCTAGGTCACAACTATCTAATTTATGCTTGTCAACAACTAAAGCAAGATGTACACAAGAAATAGAAATAGCCAAAGGAAGGGGATAAGGAAGTAAAGAAAACTGGTAAGAGCATAATATGTGTAGACAATCAAAATGATATTAAAACTTCACCTGGAAAGCTGCAAAATTTGCTGAAATTTGATTAAACATTTGAGCATTTTGCTCAAGAAGCTCTCCTGTGACACCGCCAATGGCTGACAAAAACATGCAATGTCAATCTTAAACCAACCATGACTATAACAGGCAAAACTATTAGTTCAAAATTTTAACATGTTGCCACTCTCAAATAAATAGTCATGCAAACCAACTCATAGTCTAGCATAGATCAAATAAAAGCAAGTTTATGTAAAACCATAGTTAATACCAAAATATTCTACTTTCTGATGGAACCAAAAAAACCTTAACTGAAAAACCAAAATCTATTACACTACTTTCGGATCAATGACTAAGTAACAATCTTCCACCCTCAGTGAACACCTGTACACACCTTTAAATGAAATGCCATCATCATTGTCCATAGCAACCATTGGTGGAACAAATGAAGGACCATTTGGACGAGTACTTAACTGGGATGATGATTTTGCCAGAGAATCCGTGCCCTTTTCCTGTGAAACATACAACCATGAAAACAAAAACATAGTATAATACGACAAATCAAGTTCGTAAAAGACTTAAAGATACGCGATTTTGGCCCCGCCTTTGTCTTTTCTTTTTCGTTGGAGTTGGAGGAGAAAGGGGGAGGAGAAGGTGGAAACAGATGCAACCAGTCAAATGAAAGCAGGATCATATTGGATTCATGGATTGCCATCACTAAATTTTGTTTTTCAAAAAATCTACTTAAGTTTATAAATCTGAAATCAGAAACAACTTAATTCACATAATGCAGTTGCTTCTGTCTCACAGACTCGAATACATGCCATATAAGCCACATTGCTCCATGCTGTAAAGCATCATGGTGACTTGGAAACACAATAAGCCATCAAACATGCTCTAGTAAGGAGGTAGATAAAAATGAAAAAATTACTTGAGCAAAAGTATTCAAGCATGGCATCTTCTAGGTGCTTTAACAATATGCGCTAAGTTTAAAAAAAAAAAAAAGTTAATCATAAGTGACAGCATTATGCACTTATGTTCTGCAACATTTTTCAGATGTACCAAAAAATTATTCTGATAACATTGTCCATGTTAGACTCTTTCAAAAATGTTGCCACCATTGCAACAAATTCTTTTCAATGCTACTTTCTCAAATAAGTCTAGTAATGATTTTGCTATTCACTATTTTTTCTTAAATCTTGTAGCATGCCTATTTATCAATTCATGATATTAGGAAAATCCCATATGTGATGGTGAGTTTAACAAAGAATTTATTGATCTTGGAAACCTAAACAAGTCAATGTTGATAAGATAAAATCAGAAAGGGCAGATGCCAATGCATTCATACAGTCAAAGAACCATTTTAACTCATCAATTTTTTCCTACTGCTTTTAGGAACTTGCCAAACAACATCCTCTCATTTCCATGCATACAAGATAACAATCCTTTGTTATTTCAAAAAGATAATAATCCTTTGTTACTTTAAAAAAAAAAACTAGTAAACCATCTTAACAAACCACCATAAATGAATAAAAAACCATTATATTCAAAAACCTTCTTTTAACTTTTAAAAGTTAGTAAGCGCAAATCTACTCCACTCCTTTTGAGCAATAACATACACCAAATAGAAAAGAAAAGAATAAGTGAATAAATTCTTTCATATATCTATGCTTTTGTGTAGACTTTACAAGTCACAATATCTACTAAAGCAACTATCTTTAAAAATAAAAGAGTGGCAAGAAATGCAAGCATAAACAAATACTAATAGCAGAGAGTATAGAACAGTAAACCTTTCTGTCTTTATTTTTCCTTGCTGAATTATGGTCATCTTTCCTTCTCTTGCCATTCTCCTTTTTCTGGAAAAAACATGTAACCAGTTAGAACTTTAGTATGCACTTTATAACTAAAAAATTTAAGCACCAAAATGCATGCCCATTAATAAGGTCTTAAACCGTCTAAACAGAGGGAATGCAGGATTGCCTTCCAATATATGAAAAGATGGGCCATTACCAGGTCATCAATTCTATAGCCTGTAAAATATTTACAACCAGTAGCTCCTCTTGCAGTTGATATTCAAACCCTCACTAATGTTGTGTGTAATCTCATATATCCCCTAATTTGCTAGTTTCCATAGTTTTACAGAAAAAAACATATTTAATGCTAATATCACATAAATTTATATCCTATGTAGATTTTCAGATTTCTACAGCCTTCAATACTCAGAACTGCAACGACTCTTAACCAACTTATCAACAGCAGTTCCTCAAGGTAGGAATGTGTTCTAAGGAATATAATTTTCTTTTGATGGGAAAGGAGAGTGTCATTCATACGCATAAAAGTGTGCCACCTAAATTAACAAGAGAGAGCCAGTCAAATAACTTAAGGTACCCTAAAGTCATCTCTCTAATAGAGAGTACAACCCTTGAATAAAATACACAAATCAGGAACTAGTGGTCTCTAATCCTATCAAAAGAAGAGATTTGATGAACTCAAAAGATCTTCTATATCTTCCTGTCCAAAATAACTTATTAAATAGCTAAGGGATAAAGAAAGCAACATTTCTTCTGAGGTTTGTGAGCTAATGTCATCCATGCCTTCAACTCACCTGCAATTACCAACCACCCAACTGAGATTAAGCTGATTAAGAGTTAAATCTCACAGTTCTCTACCCTTGGGACACGATGGACCTAGAAGGCGGAGGGATTTGCTCACTCTCAGGCTAAGCAAATACACATTGACCATCATCTGGCCGATCTTCATTAGATTATATTGTCAACAATAAGGATTACAAACCATGTAGCTTCCCAATCAAAAAGTAACACTGGGGAAACCTTTCTCTTCGAAATCTGCTTCTAATAAATATAATACAGTCAACTGCTTTATTCAGGTTAGAAGATACTTTCTTTAGACTCTTTGTGATCCTTAAACAAGTGCGGACCCAATCTAATCACATAGGGCCCAGCATGGCTGAGTCTAGTAATGATACAATCAGGGAAATATCATACATGAATTGCTTTTCCAAGGGAAGTTGAGAATTCTTTCTTCGCCTGTTGTGAGCTTTTAGTTTCTTGCTCTCAAATTCGTTTGGACCCATGGAAAACACATTGGCTGAAGCATAAAAAATAAACATTCTACAAACTGTATTTTGACCAAGATCCTACCAAGCTTGGTGGCTCCCTCAGAATTTAAGGATTATGGAATGCTAAGATTTAGCTTATGGGAAAGTTTAGGCAAGTTGAACAAGTTAATGCCAGAACAAAGCAGTTGATGAAGAGAACTAATCTTTTTCAAACAGAAAAAAGAAAAAAAAAAGATGAGAGAGCGTGAAAGAATCAATAATAAAATGTAAACCAATTAAAACTGGAAACTCACAGTCATCCATCGACAACGCAGTGCCACATCCCGAATTGTCTTGTTCTTTAACTGCATAGCAATCTTAGCATAGCGAACTACAGCTGATTTTGCATCATCTCTGCAAACACCGATGCCCAGCAAATATAAAAAAAAGAGTACAGATTGGTGATCAGATCAAAAATTAAAATGTCCCCAAATATACCCACAGGATGAAGTGCACCACTGTTCTCACAACTCATCCTCAAATAAGCACAAATCTCAGTCTCAAAGGTTATCAAATACTTTAGCCCTAGACAAGACATATAATTATGCACGGTATTAGAGAACCAGATCTATTTATATATTTTTCCCGAGTAATGGTTTAACATTGATTGGTTATGACAGCAGAACACAGATTTCTCGAAACTGTTGTGCCGACAATAGATCTTCTAATATTGATTGGTTACGACAGGAGAACACAGATTGCTCGAAACCATTGTGCCGCCAACAGATTGTCTAATATTTGATTGGATGACAGCGGACACAGACTGCTGGAAACCATTGTGCCACCAACAGATGGTCTAATATTGATTGGTTACGACAGCAGAACACATATTACTTGAAACCATTGTGCCGCCAACAGATGTTCTAATATTGATTTGGTTACAACAGCAGAACACGGATTGCCCGAATCCATTGTGCCGCCAACAGAGTAATAAATTATGAGAATTTGAATATAACTGACCAATTGACAATAGCTATTCCTTTTTTGGGGTGTGGAGATGCTTCATTCACATAATAAATATAGAATCATATAATATTGAAACAACATAAATATGAGATGCTATAAAGGGAATATTTCTTGTGAGGTGAGCATCAACTCGGTATGGTGCATTTACAAGCTCATTTCCAAAGTGTTGGCTAAGCAATTGCCTTTGGTGCTAAGGGAAGTGATTGGTGAGAGTTAGCATGCACTTGTGAAGGATAGACAAATTCTAAATGTAGTCATGGTGCTAATGAAGTGATGGATGAGGTAGTGGGCAATAGTAAGGAGGGTATTATAATTAAACTAGATACGAAGAAAGCATAAGACCATGTAAATTGGAGTTTGTTGATCATATGTCGGGTAGGATGGGTTTTAAGAGAAAACGGAGGGGGTGGATGAAAGTGTGCATTATAACGTCTTCCTTTGCAGTGATGGTTAATAGAGAATCTTCTTATTTTCTCAGGGCGTCTAGAGATCTAAGGAAGGAAGACCCTTAATCTCCCCTTTTGTTTATTATAGTCATGGAAGTGTTGAGTAGATTGTTGGAGAAAGCAAGGGAGCAGGAGTTGTTGGAGGGAGTGAAGGTGGGTAGAGGTGGTCATCAAGTGGAGATATTGCATTTATTTTTGCTGATGACACATTGATTTTCTGTCAACCCAAGGAAATGACGATATTGAACCTCTGATGTGTTCTTTGGTGTTTTCAAGCTGTTTTTAGGTTGAATATTAAACTGAATAAATCTGAAATGGTGAAGCTTGGTGATAGGGGGATGGGGATAGACTTGCGGTGGTTTTGGGTTGTAAATTTATACAGCTCCCATCAAGTATCTAGGGCTCCCATTGAGGGCAAGATATAAAGATTTGGGTACATGGGACCATTGGATTGAGACGTTCAAGATAAGACTTGCTGAGTGGAAGAGAATTTATTTGTCTAAAGGTGGGACGTTGATTCTCATCAATCTTCCTATATATTTTTATTTGCATTGACTATTCCTGTGAAGGTCGTAAAAAAGCTGGAAAACATTCAACGTCGGTTCCTTTAAGGGGATGATAAGGGGAATAGAAGATATCACGTGAGAAAATGGGATGAGTAAAGAAGTCTTTGGGGTTAAGGGGTTTGAGGCTTAGATCATTTGTTAACATGAATATGGCCTTGGAAGGAAAGTGGTTATGGAGGTACTTGAAGGAGGAGGGGGGATTGTGGAAGAGAGTTATTGATGCACATTGGGGCATGAAGGTAGAGAGGTTGTGAGGTCTCATGGGATGGATTTGTGGAGGAAGATAGGTATGAGGAGACAATAGTTTTTGGAGCGTATTCAATGGAAACTAGGGAGGGGGAATAAAATCTGATTTTGGGATGACGAATGAATAGGGAATGGTAGTCTCAGGAATCAATTTCCAAGGATTTATGCTATTACTCAAGAGAAGAATATGGGGGCGGAGGATGTGTTCAGAGGGGAGGGTGGTAGAAGGGTTTGGAATATGAATTTCTCAAAGAATCTTAACGATTGGGAATTAGAAGAATATGAGGCGTTGCTCCAGCTATTGTCCAATGTACAATTGAGTGACAGTAAGGATAGGGTTGTGTGGAAACTGAAGAAGAATGTAGAGTTCACTATTAAATCATTTTATAATTATCTGGTTAAGAGGGTTAGGGAAGTGGTTAGGTTCCCTGCTAAACAGATTTGAAAAGTGAAGGCATCTCCAAGAATAAATATCTTAGCATAAGAAGTGGGATGAGAATGTATTCTAATCATTGACAAGTTGACGAGAATGGGTAAAATCCTAATAAACAGTTGCTATATGTGCAATAGAGCTGCTGAATCTTGTAATCACATTCTTCTTTGATGTCCAGTGGTCTACAATATTTGAACTATGGTCCACATCTGTTGGGGATAAGTATTACAGGTATAGTTAGAGATAAACTATGGGCTTGAGATGGGATTTGTACAAAGAAGAAATATGTAAACCTTATTCCTTTGACTATTTTTTGGGCAGCGTAGAAAGAGAAGAACAATAGAGCATTTGAAGAGTGTTAAGGGAAAAAATGGTTAGAATTAGAGATAGATGGATACATGTTTTTTGGGTTTTTAAATTTTGGACCATGGCATCTATAGGTGAAAAAATTTTGGGAATGTCATTGACTTACTAATTAAGATGTAAATATTTTATTTATGGGTGGCACCCTCTTTGTGCCATATAATTTATAATACATTCTTTTTATCTCGAAAAAATAAAATAAAGGGAATATTTCTTGTTCAGTTCCAAACTAATGCAAAAAAAAGAACAAGGATTTTCATCTATCATTATTCCTAATGACAAATTTTAATAAATAGGGGCTTGATAAACCTTCCTAAGATGAAGATTTCTCATGTTGATTGGTCTGTGATGCAAGAAGACAGATTGCTTGAGATCATCATGTCGCCAACAAAACAAAAGAATATTAGGACTTGAATAGAACCAATCAATTAGCAATAGCTCTTCCTTCTTTTAGACGTGGTGATCCTTAATTCATGTAGTAAATATAGAATCTCAAAAGACCAAAACAACATAAATACAAGAAGCTACAAAGGAAAGTTTCTTCTAATGCAATTCCAACTCTGGCAGAAAGAAAAGCATGTGGATTTTCATACATTATCGTTCCTAATGACTAAATTAAACTAGGAGCATGCAAAACTCTTATCGTGAAGGGTTTGCTTCGACTGGTTAAACAGGAGATCATTAGCTATTGAATTAAACATAAATTCATCCCTCAACACTAACTCTTTACATTTTTTCAAAGCTTAAGTCACTCATTCCGATATGCTACAGAGAAGAGGAAATGGATGCCTACAACTTATAGATTGGCAAAAAGATTGGAATATGAAAAAACTCCAGCAAAATGGGCATGATAAATATTATCTAATTATGGAACAGATGAAATAAGAATAATAATTTGCCCATGAGATTGAATATAAAGGGTTCATGGGTGCTAAAACTGTTTGTAAATTTTTTCTTTTTTAAGACAAAGCAAAATAAAACAAAAAATTGCAAGATCATTAATCACTCAAATTGCATTTATAATGAGAATCTGAATATAACAGTAGGTATTCCTTTTTTGGGATCTGGAGATTCTTCATTCGCATAGTAAATATAGAATCTCGTAATATTGAAACAACATAAATACAAGATGCCAGAAAGGGAACATTTCGTGTTCAGTTCCAAACCAATGCCCAAAAAGAGCACCAGGATTTTCATCTATCATCATGCCTAACGACAAAATCTAATAAATAGAGGCCTGTAAAACTTCCTAAGATGAAGGTTTCTAACATTGATTGGTCTGTGATGCGAGAAGACAGATTGTTGAGATCAGTGTGCCACCAACAAAATAAAAGAATATTAGGATCTGAATATCACCAAGCAATTAGCAATAGCTCTTCCTTTTTTAACACCTGGTGATCCTTCATTCCCATAGTAAATATAGAATCTCAAAATACCAAACAACATAAATACAAGAAGCTACAAAGGAAAGTTTTTTCTAATGCAATTCCAACTCCAGCAGAAAGAAAGGCATGTGGATTTTCATCTACTATCTTTCAGAATGACAAAACCAAAATAGGAGCATGTAAAACTTCTTAACGTGAAGGGTTTGCTTTGACTGGTTAAGCAGGAGATTCTTAGCTACTGCATTAAACATAAATCCTCCCTCAACATGATTTTCACATTTTTTTCAAAGCTTAAATCACTCATTTCAATATGCTACAGACAAGAGGAAGTGGATGGCTGCAATTATGGATAGACAAAAAGATGGAAATATGAAAAAACTCCAGCAAAATGAGCAGATAAATATTATAAGTATGGAACAGAAGAAATAAGAAAAATAATTTGCCCACGAGATTTAATATAAAGGCTTCATGGGTACTAAAACTGTTGGTAAATTTTTTCTTTCTTAAGACAAAGCAAAATAGAACAAAAAATTGCAAGACATTAATCACTCAAATTGCATTTATAATGATAGCCAGCAAGAAAATTACCAAATTAAAGACCAAAACAGGAATCCAAACAAATAGGTTTCCCCTTCAATTTCTCAGAAAACAGCAGAGTATAAATAAAACCAACAAAAAAAGATTAAGAGAAAAAATATACAAACAGACTCTAGGGCGCGCACAGTTCAATCTTCCAATAAACACCTAGACACAGGAAACTGGGAAAAGGAACCATCTTTCATCAACAAACGAAAGGAAAGCACTGAGCATAAGCATGTGTGTTAATTGTAGATATAGAGAAAATATAAGTTACTTTGCAAGCAAATCCTCCAATATCGACTGCTCTTCTGAGGTCCATTCGACGGAGATGCCCGAGTTGTGCCTCAAGGCAGCAATAGTCTGAGAATTATCAGGTCCAGCGGCGGCTCCGGAGCCGCTATTAAACCCATTGCTGCTCGAATTCACAGGAATGCTATTGGTCGCCGTAGAAGAAGACGAAGGAATCTTCTGACCCGACGCACCTTCCTGATTATTCCCTGACGGGTTCGCACTCGCAGCCATCAATGAACAAAAGATGAATTAGTAAGCTACTGAGCAAATTGGTAGGATAAAGGTAACGAATTGGTAGCTGTAATATACATATGCATATACATGTATGTCGATATATGTATGTATAGGGCAGAGAGGAGAAAATCCAAGAGGAGATAGGAACAAGCAACTGCTGATGTTGTTAATTTCAATTGCCAAGTTTACAATTTGGATGGTTGACAAACCGAAACTGGAATCTTTTCCAATTATTCTCCTTTTTTCTTGATATTTCTGATTAATTTACCTTTCTACTACGCGGGGGAATTTTTATTTCTTCAAATTTTACTGTATTTAAGGATTTCCTTCTTTAAATTTCTTCTCTAAATTAAGAATAATATTAAATTATATAATTTCATAACAAATTTTCTATTTTATTTTAATTTTATAATAAAAATATAAAATGATGAATACTGAAAAAGTATTTTAAGATTAAATTAATTATTTTACAGTTATCTCACTCTCTCTATTTTTAATTATTGAATGTCATAATAAAAATTTACATGTATAATTTCATAACTATAACTGTATATTTGTGCTATTAATTTTTATTATTTATAAGTTGATCAATCACAAAATTAGAAATAACACTTTATTTTTTATATGTAAAAATTTACACTTTAATTTGATACATTAAAATTCAATATACTCTTAACTTTATTGACTAATATTATGAATGATAATTAAAATTTTGTTTTAATGCATGGAGTTACAAATAATTTATATACTTGATTTTTATATATTAGTTAAGAAAGTACAAAAGCACTTCACTTAATTTGAGTATAAATATTAACTTAAAATTATAAATAAAGTTTGACACGAAATTAACTTCAAATTATATTATTATTTTTATTTTTTTATGTCTATTATATTTTAATTATTTTTATTTTTACTTGATAAAATTTGAAATTAGATGTATTTGATTTTAAGATAATATAGTGTCGGAGAGAGTTGTAATTCCATTAGGTCTTATAGTGATTTTAATATTTCAACTAAAGTCAAAGTTATATATATTTTAACTTTGTAGATTTTAAGTTTTTATTAGATTTCTATTTATACTCTTATTGTAAGAAAATAAAAGCTGAGTCAAAAAATAAATATTTTTAAATAAAATAAAATTTATTTTTAGCTTTCGATGAGTACGGTATGCAGTAATAATAATTTTAATAAATAAATTTATTATTAGTTTTTATTATGTATTAATTTAATATATTTAACTAAAATAACAATAGTTTAAAATAAATATTATTTGAAACAATGTAAATTAAAATACATCATTTATTAAAATACTATTTAAGAAAAATACTTAGTACTGTTTAAATAATTACAATAATATTATATCTATATTAGATATACAAGTAAAATCATTTTTTTTTATTTTTAATTTAAAATTACTTTTAAAAAAATAATTTACTACACTTATAATCGCCAGTTGAAACATAAATAGGTGACATTTTTTTGTTATTAATAATGCACCGTAAAATCTAAAATATTCAATTTTGAAAATAATAAATATACTTCTTTTAAATTGAATTAAAAAAATTAGCACAAACTTTAGTTATGGAAATACATTATTAAAATATAAATTGTAAAATATTAAGAATATAAACAATATAATAAACTAAGATTAATATAATATAATAAAAATTTAAAAGTAAACGACTAACGACCAGCTAACATAACACGGTATGATTAAAAGGATAACAAGTGCTTTTAAAAATTAAAAAAATAACAAAAATAAAAATGTGTTTGGCTCCGTTCCGTTTTATGTTTTTTAGATGACCCGTTTTGTCCTCACAGTGTCAACGCGAGAGGACTGTATCTTTTTGTCTCCTCCTCTTTGAGGTGGGCGTTCGGGATAACGAAGTCCTCAAAATTTAGGAACAAAAAGAAAAAACCCTCAAAATTAATAGCTCATGGAATCCAATCCGCCGCAATCAGGTTCGCGTTTGCTTTCGGCTTCACTTCTTTTGCGTTAACTTTTTGCGTACTGATCAGATTTCACTTCATTTTATCCTTGACTTTTATTATGGACACTCGGTTTGTTTGGATTTGAACTTGATGTTATCTTGATGTTATTTGGCTTTGAATTGGATTTCCTTTATCGATTGCGCGAAGGCTGGAATTTTAATTCGTTTATCGGTTGGACTGTTGTTTTTTTTTTTTTTCTCTGTTTGGGCGACGAGGGAAATGTTATCTTGAAGTTTAGGGTTCGGTTCATATTATAAGGGGAACGTTTTGACGGTTTATTCTTTAGGTTATGTTTTAATCTTCTTATCTACTTGGCTTATGGCGGTAGTGGAACAGGCAATTGTATCGATGACACAGATATGCGCTCTATCGTACCTTAACAGGCCTGGTTGATGGTAATATTTTCACAAGCAAATTGCATATTCAAAGTGGGTATTACCGTGTTAAGAGTAGCTGGTTTTTTTTGGCTAGTGACGGGAGAATTATTGGGCGGGAGGTGTCATTTTTTCAGAACTAATAGCTTTAATGTTGGTCAATAGGGGCGCTTTGATCTTGGCTGTTTAACCTTTCTAACCTTTTTTATGTTCGTCGTTCTCCTTTATCCCTTTCCATTCCTGTGGGTTTTCTTATATTCATAGCATCTGATGCCATCCAAAGTTGGAGATGGTATGCTAAATAGAAAAATTACCTTACATAATTGGTTTACATAGGTACCATATCATGTTTTATATGAATGTGTTGATAAACATCCCAGTCCATAGATTTCATTGCTCAATTTACATGAATGTCAAGCTGTTATCGGGAATGTGATAACTCATTAGTGTCTATCTGGTAAAAAAATGATTTTCTCTTGTGAAGCATTGGACTCACTGATCTCATGGTCCCAACAATATATTTCTACATCACTGTATATTACTTGCATTTGGTGAATGACTTCTCCAGAATTACTGTATTGTTTTCTAGAAACTTTTGTTGTGTTTTCACCTTATCTTTGATACTAGAAATACAGATAAGTAAATAAAGTAAAAGAAAGCAAAGAAAAAAGACAGGAAAAGGAACAACCTTCCTTCTTTTGATAACCGAAAATTGCAAAAGGAAAGAAAACAGAGAATCCACTATAATCTTTTGTTTGGTCTGGTGTGTAAAGGAAAGAAAAGAAAATACATTATAATGGATATTTCATTCCAGTTGTAACATTTATTAACAAAATAACTATCAAATAGACAAATCATCCCTTGAATTTTAAGCACTTTCTTCTCCTCTGCTTTTCTCTCAATTTGGGGAGATGAGAAAACCATGTTCGGACTGAAAGTAAGGGATGGCAAGCATCCTCTTTCTATTCATGTCTTTTATTTTTCATCAAAAAGCAAAGAATGTTGAACATCCTTGTTTGTTTTTGAGCCTCTTCTATCTTTCTTCAATCCATACATTATAATACGTTCGAATAGAAATTAGTAGAGAAAATGAAAGGAAAGAAAATGATTTTTTTTTAAGCAAAAGAAAGGGAATATGCACCTCTTTTTTTGGATAACTAAAAATTAGGAAAAGGGAAGGATATGGGCGTTGTAATTTTTTTTTTTTTGCTTAAGGCTTGCAAGGGTTTACTAAGAAAAAAATAAATTACATCATTGGGGTAACATGGACAAGTTTTCTTAAAATTCTTCAGTTTTTTCATTTCCTCAGCATTCTCACAACTGGGGAAATGGAAAGAAATACATTTTTGAGGGAAAAGTGAGGGTTGATGAATATCCGTCTCTTTCATTTTTGTCTAAGAATGCTCAGCATTCTTTTATAATGTATGTATAACTTGTCGTTCCATTGCAGGTGGCAGTCCTCCTAAGCCTTGGGAACAAGCTGGGGCCTCATCTGGTGCTACTCCATTTAAGCCACCATCAGCAGGGAGCACTAGTGATGTAGTAGAGGCTTCTGGAACTGCCAAACCTGGTGAAATTGTTTCTACTGCCGATAGGAATACAGTTGCTAATAGAAACTCTCTTGGTAGATCTGTTCCCACCAGACCCTGGGAGCAGCAAAATTATGGAGGCAGTTATGGAGGTGGAGGTGAGTTTGCAGACTTGTTATGATAACAACAGCTCTCTATTCCTTGTAAAATAGTTTTCATAACTTTTAGTTTCGTGGTTTTCACTGAGAAGCCACTTCATTTAACTTGTTCAATGCAGGCTATGGCTCTGGTCTAGGTTACGGTTCAGGGTATGGTTCAGGCACGTACGGTTCATCTTATGGTGGACTAGGAGGGTCTTATGGTAGTGGGATGTATGGAAATGGTATGTATAGAGGTGGTTATGGGGGCCTATATGGTGGTGGTACGTATGGTGGGGGAATGTATGGTGGGGGTTTTGGGGGTCCAATGGGTGGTTATGGAATGGGCATGGGTCCATATGGTGGTCAAGATCCCAATAATCCATATGATGCTCCATCTTCTCCACCAGGCTTTTGGATTTCATTCCTCCGGGTGGTAAGGAAGATTTTTTTTTTGGTGGCAGAATGGCTCTTATTTTCCTAAAGTTTGATTTTAGTTTACCAGCGCTGATAATTGCATGTGGTATTTCAACATAGTGGGATTGCTAACAATCTATAATGTAAAGTTGCATTGTGTTTTTTTATTCTTTTCTCTAAGAGAGAGGTTTTTAAATGCTGCCTCTTTATGAGTTGCAATGCTTTTGATTTATGATAATGCTCTGAAGTTCCTGGGTGCTTTTTATCTTTCTTTTTCCTTGGTTGTGGAGTTAAAACTTACACCTCCGAATGAAAGGTTTCAGCATTTCATGTTATCTGTGTGAATTATTGCCTGATTGAAATTAGGAATGGTCCCAATCAAGGAGAAGGGTGGTCTAACCTTAGTCGGAATAATTTTGAATACCTAGACCACCTTATATTTTTTGTTAGGATATTTTTGGTAGTGCACTAATAGACTGAAGCCTGGTGCATTGTAGTCCCAATCTATGTGGAGCAAAGAAGACAATTTACTCCATTTTGTAATGGATGTAAAAAGAAATTTGGGTTCCATGTATTACTTTTATTTATTTTGAGGTAAAAGTCTCAATTTACTAAATCCTTTGATGATGAGCAGATGCAAGGTGTTGTAAACTTCTTCGGCAGGATAGCAATTCTGATAGACCAGAATACCCAGGCATTCCACATGTTTATGTCTGCTCTTCTTCAGGTGGTGCTATTTTCTTATGGATTTTCCTATTTGCTTAAATGCTATTCAAGATTATTTTGTTGGCATTCAGTTGGCTTCTTATGAAGTAACAATGTCAAATAATCAATAAAATGTTTTGCGTTGAAGAAGCTGTAGCTTATTTGAGACATAACATCATCTTCTGCAGCTGTTTGATCGTACGGGATTACTATATGGGGAGTTAGCCAGATTTGTGTTGAGACTACTAGGAGTCAAAACAAAACCAAGGAAAATCAATCCTGTGGGACCTGATGGTCACCCTCTCCTGGGTCCCCATAACCCTCATGGCAATCAGAATTATATCGAGGGGCCTAAGGGTGGACCGACCGGTGCATGGGATAATGTATGGGGTGGAGATGCCAGCGGCTAGTTTGGTATCATATGGTGTCTGTCCGTCATCAGCTGGAAAACGTGAAGAAGTTGAAAACCATGGATGCAGGAGTGCAATTGGAGCAGTGTTGCTCAATACTACATAGGCTACATGAGTTGGACGTCCAAGCTTCGATTGTTCTTTGTTACGTCTTGAATAATATTTTCTCTCTCTCTCTCTTTCTCTCCCCCCTCAAAATGTTTTCAGAAAAGAGTGTAATAGACAGGCAGAATTGTTTGTGCAGTGTTACAGTAGAAAATATGGCTGTAGATCAAAATAATACTGGAAAAAGGGGATTTGTTTGTAGACCTGCCAATTTTAAGGATAAAATATGATAATTTAATGTGGAATTACTATGATTGCTCTTGTCACCGTTACCTTTCGCTAGTTGATATTCGATGATCTAGAAGACTTCTAGACCGATAAAGCAATGGATTATTTATATTTTTTGCTGTATTTTTTGGACGTGGATCATTTTTTACTGCATAGGGCTATAAATAATAAAACAAGTTTTCTTCAAAAGAAACGAATGGTTTTGAACAAAACCCCCAAGAAGTAATAACAAGCATTATTTATTTTTTTTAACAGAAATGAGTGGTTTTAGATGCGTGTTTAATAACTAACAAAGGTACATTAGGTGCCGTATCAATATAATTTAGATGTATGCTACAGGTTGGTCGCATGAAGCCAGATGCATCTTCTTCCTACCTCAATGCCTATGTTTAATCAGAACATATAGAGTATCTTTGGTTGCAAGTTACTATGAAATGAAAGTGAAGAGGACACTTGTTAGAATTAAGAGGTCACTTGTACGTTTATAAGCTTCACATCAGATCCTAGAAGGACATGGAAGTTTCTCTGTCCAAACAATTAGACGTTCATCCATGTGAATAAACACCACAGGTTATAATCTGTACTAAAAATATATCATGTTTGTCAACCAAGGTTGAGTTCAATTATCTCTTACTCTGATTTTATAGATGTCCAATCAGGCACTATAATCATTATTTCCTCTGCCCTGATCTCAACGTCACTTCTATATGCTTTAAACAACTCCACTGCAACAGCCGATAACTGATTATTTCCACTCATGTATAGAACTGAAAGCTTCTTGCACCCATCTCTCAAAGCCTGCAAACCTCGGTCGCATAAATTCCAGCAACGGTTCACATGAAGCCTCTCTAGGTAATGGCAGTTTACCCCAATAGATTCCCATCCTGAAGTCCTAACCTCACGACATAGTGACAAGTTCCACTCTTCAAGTAGCGGACAACCCTTTGCAATAGCTGCAATAGATTCGTCACCAATGGTTCTGCACATTCCAAGGTTAAGGATTTTAAGCTTTGCACAAAATCCTGCGCCAAGTGCTGCCAATCCATCTCTGGGTAACCAACTTATGCCATATATATCAAGAAATTTAAGCCCTCCTCCACTAACAATCCCTGATATCCCCTCTGGGTCAAGCTTACAGGATTCAGCAGCTATATAGACCAAAGTTGGTGAACAACCGTTGAGGCCAACACCTGTTATCTGCCTGCAATTAGACATCTTGATTGCTTTAAGCTGGCGGCATTGCTGAGAAAGAGCTCTTAACCCGGAGTCATAGACAAATAAGCAGTGTGAGAGATTCACATGGGTCAAAGCTAAGCAAGCATTAGCTAGATTTCCTAAACCAACATCACTAATTTCGCATCGATAAAGACTTATAACTTTTAATGAAGGGCAACCATTGGCAATCGAGGAGAGTCCGTTGTCAGTAACGTTAAAACAACAATCTAGATAAAGACTCTCCAATTTGGAACCATAGGATTGTAACAATGCAAGGCCTGAATCAGATACCTCCGTGCAACCAGATAGGGATAAATGCTGTAGATGCTGGTAGCGAATAAGCAGCCTGTAGAGATGAGAGGCAGTAACCTCAAGATTAGTTTGAGATAGTGAAGGAATGTTTAGCACAGAGAGTGAACACTGGAATTGCAACGATCGGCGGTTTATATTCTGAATGTTAAGCCAGCGGTGGCAAGTCATGCCAAATGAATCGCGGTCAGATCCACAATCAAGCCATTGGAAAATATAAGAGAGGCAATCATCAGCAGATGCATGATGGAGGTAAGACTATTATTAGAGGGGTTTTCCATATCCCAAATTAGCTCTCTTCTGAAAGGCTGTAAGGCTCGGATCTTTACGTGAATTTCTTATAAGATGAACCAGAGAATTGGAGATTCAAAACCACATAAAGCAGGGGTGTTTCCATAACCATAGCCTATATGAACTCCACATTTGCGACAGAGGAGTTTTAGTTTTTGGACGATAACGACCCCAGGCCACAGGAAAACAGTTTACCTCATCAACCTGTGTGAATCGACTAAGATCTACAGAAAGAAAAGAAATGAAACCCTTCTTTATGGATTTCTGATATGCGGAACCTATGCCAGAAGTAATCCGGTTGGAAGATGTTAAGTTCAGAGGGTATCCACAAGATCCACAACTGCACAGAAAAAATGGGAAGATATCAGGTTGAACATCACATCAAATGCTAAGCAACAAGAACATACCTCATGGGAAAAAGAGGAAGAAGGAAAAATCCTAAAATGCATTTTCCAAGGAAAACCAATACCAAATTAAAGAATAAGAGTGCATCTTAGCTGCTTTGCAAAATGAAATTAGTATCCAATTAACACACAAACCTATCTTGGCTCTATGAACAAGACCTGAAAATGATGACTACCTTTAATAATCCCATATGCAGGTAACAAGAGGGATCTAAAAAACAAACAAAGTAGTTGCTTTTCTCGTGTACTTGGTTAGTTCTTAGATATTGACAAGATGATGTATACATTCGAACAAAGAACACAATCCATCAATCTATGGCGAATAGAACAAATAAATTCAAATACATGCATATGTTGATAAGATATTACTACCAAATAACAGATTATAGTTATTTGCTAGGTTCTTTGATATGCATCTTGTTCATTCATTACTCTATATCACAACATAAGGGAAATCATTATTAACTAGCACCACAGAAAAATACAATGTACTAAGAGTTTATTCCCTCTGCTGCTGGGTTCAGAAACAAAGCAAATTTTGGACAAAGCAGAATGCAGGGTAATTCCCTCTTCCTGTCAACCTTACAGATTTGTCAGGATGGTATTTGGAAATACTAACTGAAACATACTATACATTAGACAACATGATAAGAGTTGTAGTGACTAGAGAATTGTTGCATATGGAAGAAACCATGCTATAGTTTTAGCCAAGTACTAAACCAGAAGAGAATACTGTAGAAAGTCCCAGAAACCATGCATATGGAAGAAACCACCATAAGTTATCAAAACAAAATCAAGAAAAAAGGGACACAATGATGGATAGCATAGTTAGATGTGCTTCAGTCTCTACTTTTTGAATCTTAATCAGCCAAAGTAACACTACAAATCTTAAAGAGTTCTTAAAAGATTCCAGCAATATGAATAGAAGCAAAAAAGGGCAGATGGAAGAAGTAATGTGAATATTTTGGCACTAAAAGAGATTAAAACAGAACCTCTCATATTAAATAAAAATAAAGAATGAAGCACAGCAAAAACCATTTTGGCCTGATAGATGAATCTGACTCCGTTGTTATTTGACACATGCAGACTGTTGAACTATTGAAGATAGAAGAAGTTGTTTGACCAACGATTGAACTGAGTTTCTATTAGAGCACCATAACTCACCACTATTCCATCCGAGACACTCTATCCAACCAACCAAAACTATATCTTGGGATTTTTTCTCAATGTCATCAATGTTTTAGGATTCAAAGAAAACCTTCGGCATCATGATAGAGAACCTATATCTCAAACCTGAAATCTTTACAAAGGAATCGATTATACTAATATTTAACTAAATTACCATGAAAACTAAGTTCCTTCTCCAATCTTTATATAAAGTTCAGAAACAGTTTACCATCGACCATTACTTGTACATAGAGTTAACTCAGTTTGCTTTTATGGTCTAATAATTTGACCATCATCAACAGCTGATCAAAAACTGTCAGTCTCCACCACTTTTAGGATTAATAAGGCATGTTGTATAACCTGTAAGTATCCACAACTGATTCTCTAATTAACTTCCCTAGTCCACCTCACAAGAACATTAAGAAAAGAAAGGCAAGAACAACGCCAAATTAAAAAAAAATACAAACTTTTCTGGGTTCTCACCTAATGCTCACTTCAAAAGAAGAAAAGGAATTCCAAAATTGAATCAACAAAATGCCATGATTTTATTGCGTTTAGCTCGAAACCCATAAGATCACAAACGGAACAACAATGGATCCCAGTCGAAACCACCAAAAAAGAAATCCCCAGAAATAAATCAATGTAATAAAATGCTCGAGCTTGACTCCAAACCCATTAAACCCCAAATGCAAACAAAACGAGAATCATCCAGTGGCATCACAAACTCGTCAAAAACAATCGTCTAAAACCCACATGAAACAACACTTAAGACTTCAAAAGAAACACATTGCATCGACACACTCATAAAGTACCCATCAAATTTATCGCAGAAAGTAAAACATCAATCAACCCAAATATTAAAAACAAAAAAGATGAAAAATTGGGTAAATGTGTGTGTTTTTACCTGTAAGAGATGTCAGCTTGGGACATCCTCTTTGGTGATCAGAGAAATGGTGTTGATCCCATTTACTTCACGGTACAGAACAATTACCATCCATTCCACAGTGGTTATCAACGTTATTTCCTTGTAGAATTAGTCTCCGTCAATAGGATCCACAGTTTTTGATTACTTACAAAGCAGAGAACCCTGTCTGTGTTTGTGTTTATCTTTTTCAGCTTTGAAGGGGAGCAGGTTGTTGTGTGCTTGACTTTGAGAGGCGGTTTTGGATATTCCGATTTGTTGTTCTGCCTCTCTTTTTGGTTTTCAACTTTCAGTTTTCTCAGCCCCAGTATTATATAATATTTTCGATCATTTACCGCTTTTTAAGTTGATAAATATATAATTAAAAACTTTTACTATTATACTAATTATAATTTATTTTTATTAAATATATACCTAAGATAATTTCAAAGTACCTGAAATAATTAATTTTGTAAACTCAATTTATTATTTTGTGGACTTATAATTTCAAAAGTTAGGTTTATTAAAATTCAGGCTAAATTTGAGTTCAGTGACTTTACACTTTGCATGCATTATATAATTATTTTTTAATAATTCATAATTTTTATTAATATTTTCTGTACAATTTTTTTTTCTTAATTTTGATTTGTATTTTAAAAGAAGTCATTATCCCGGATACATCTGGGATAATGTTATTCCAGTCTAGGAGCTCTTAAGGCGTCAATGCCAAACGCGCGCAGCAACGTGTCTACAATAGAAAAGGGTGCAAAGTTCCAGTGGACACCGGATCATATCCCAGTAAGGCCCAACCCAATAAAACCTAGTTATGACGAAAACGAATCCTGGCCGTTGATCTGTACGGAACGAGTTCATTAGGGTTTTAGTATATTAGCTCCTCATTCCGCCATCCTTTTGCTTCTCTTCTCGCAACTTCCTCCAGCCACTGCTGCGTTACTGAGCGTCGGAAATGGTAACCGACAACTCTGCTATCATCTTACGCTTTTCTATTTTGTTTTACTGCTCTCGGTTCTTATACGGTTAGGTTAAGTCATTCAG